GAAATTAATATAGGTTATTTTAATAAAATTTTGAGTAATTTTAATTTATTTAATTGTCCAAAATTGTCTAAAGTGTCTAAACTTACTGTCTACAACTAACCTGTGACAATATTGCTTATAGGTATGCACATCAGTATTTTGTACTAAGTTATGCAGATCATATGCAAGTACCATTATACATGTGATCCCTAACATTATAGTAATCAATAAAAATCGATTTTAAAAATATGCTACTTATCCGAGCTTTAAATAAATAAAACCTCTCTAAATATATCTTTTCTAAGCGTATAACCACTTTCAAATTCAAGCCCAAAGATTTATTTAACCTCTCTAAATCACTTCTTTTATAGTTTTTTAAATGTACGTTGTTCAAATTTGGTGCAAACATTTGTATATATATATGCATGTATATACAACACATAAAAAAATATACATAACTATTAATATTGACTTTTTACTTAACAGTATAATAAATAGTTATAGGATATTGACAATGCATCTAAATATAAAAGTGCTGGTGAAATAACTTCAAATATGAAAGTATTTAAAATAATAAAAATGTAGAAATATTTCAAGCTATCATATTTACAAGTATTCCTGCATGTACAGTATATGTGCATACCTACTATGCTATTGTTATTATTAGTACCAGAGGCCATTAGTATATTAAAGATTTATCTAATGTTGAAATTTCACTGAATATATAAAGATTAAAAGGCATTTTTTGAAGTGAATGTGATATTAAAGTAATTGTTGAATTCGAGAATTATAATCATTGAATAATGTATATAGAATATACCACAGCCGGGTATTTATATTTATTTAATGCTGCAATATTAATATACTAGCAAATTTGCAAATGCTATACTTATATTTTAACCACAGGTTTATTGAACAAATAAAAAAAATGAACAGTTTAAATGATATGCTATATAAACATTCATTACATATTAATTTAATGAATTGTTTAAAACATTTTTTTGCAAATTATGTTCCTTTTTGCTCATCATTCTTGCCTTACGTTTGGGAATATTTTGAATATCATTTTCATTACTTTCAGAATGTACCCGTTTCATATTCAGTTTCCTTCGTTTTATAGACTCAACTTGCACTTGAATTTTTCTACCACTCTTGATACGTGCTAAAAGATCTGAATTACGATTAAGGTTATAGAGAAAAGA